CTATTTTAAACATGTAGGAAGAGTAATCGTAATTGATTGAAAGTATTCTCACCACATTATTTTGTGTTTTAGTTGGAAAAGGTAACTATTGTACATTAGTGAACTTGAATTATATAGTTCAACGCAGTATTTGATTAAAAGGCGAGGGATGCAATTCATTTATATTTATGAAAGACATTAATACATATACTTCTCCAGGGTGACATTCTCATTCGAAATGATTAGAAATGAATTGAGACTAAGAATTATGAGGGAAAGATGTTCTCATTTTGGAATGCATTCGTTGCCTCTTCAAATTTGGCCCATCTACTGCGGTCAAATGATTTAAGGTTTACTTCCAGCCACACTTTATCTATTTAAACTAGTGTTGATGCTGGAAACTGTAATGGGCACGTAAAACACTGTTTGTGAATGACCGCGATGATTGTTAAGTTCTTAATCCACTAAGGACAATATGACCCATGTATTTATTATGTGTTGCCGAAAACAGTTTGAGCTTTCGACTTTGATGGCGTGTTTTTCAGGGCATATTAGACGTTACATTTCGGTGCTCGAATACCTAAAAGCCCTGTGTCCAATGTTTCACTAGCCCGTGACTATGTTTTTGTTAGGATTGCAATGATTTCTAGGTGACAAAACGAGTGTACAATCATTAGACGTTTTCCGCTTTATCGTCGACCATCTAAACCTTTAGCACGACAGACCAATTTGTTCTATTTTGTTCTGCAAGTTTGTTACCTTTTCAACTCGTCAAGTACTCCGTCGATTGTCGAAAAAGCCGTCGATGGTTTTTTTTACTCTTTACTTTTTTTACTTTTTTTACTTTGTTTTATATAGAGAGCAAAAAAGTGTTTTTGAAACGCAATGTTAAAATATGATTATGAAAAATAGACAGCGATGAAAAAAAAGTAGCACGGAGCTTGTTACTTACTCAACGGTAATGTGAGGAAATAACCAATAATTACGCTTCGGTTCGACCATTATGCAGTCTGACCAAACTCTTAATCGTTGTTCCACATTATGCTTGTGCATAGATCATTTAATTTGAAGCACAGCTACAAGTGTTTTGGGATATCAGCAGAACTCGAAACCTCAGATGGGCTTCGAAGCCACGATTACCTTCAGCAGAGGCTCACGTGCTATTCACCACATCAAGTGAGGCTTTTGCTTTGTTTTTTTCTCAGCCAGATTTTTTACTTTAATGGTGCTGTCAGCAATCGTTCGTCAACAGGAATGATTTGGGGAACATAAACATGTAGTATAAACAAAAACTCTTGAAAAAATCAGGAAAAAAATCGAAAAGCAATTGGCTGCCAAGAATTCAGCTTCGGTTAACTGGGTTCAGTAGCCAGATTGTACTCCCCAGATCATTTTCGTTGCCGAGTGATTGCTGATAACATCGGTAGAGTTAAAACATGGCCGAGGGAAATGCGAAGTACGAACCTCGGCTGGTGTTACAGATAGCGTGTGAGCGCCCGCGAAATGTAATCGCAGGTTCAAAGCCCAAATAGGGTTCCGAGTCTTACTCATATCTCAGCATCTTTGTGGTTATGCCTCACATAATATCCTACAATGGAAGAAGAATGGGCATTAAATAGGGGGGGGGGGGGAAATTTGATTTGAATTGTTTTCCTCGTATTCTTATAATCGGTCTACATGGATAAGGTTTAAGTTTTGTAGTTAAATTTCTTGAAATGGTTTATTAGCTTCAGTGCAGCTGGGTGTTGCTCCTAGATATCGAATTATGATGAACGAAGGATGGTTTATTTCTCACTGGCTCATTCAGACTGGGAAAAATCTCGACATTTCTGTTTGAATACACCTCTGTTTGTATGTCACGACTAAACCCGACGAGCTAATGATCTTCTCGCGGAAAGCAGTAAAATTAGGGGACTTTAAACATAGAGATTGTGAGAAATGAGATGAGGAAAAAAAGAATGAGGGTATTGCTCTTCGTGTTGTTTACACGACCTGAGGTCAGGTGTACGACGTTGATGAATGGAAATCTTGCTCTTGTCTTCTCAATATTGCCGATGGTTGATGGATTAACAGTGCGGCAATAGAATATAATTAAATAGTTACAAGAGTCAAGACAATAAAGTGACTAAAATTTTTTGAAAAAAACACTATATTACTCTATGTTCTTATTTCTCTGTTCTTAATGTTCGAAGCCTGAATGGAATTCTTTTAATGTCCTTTAGAATGTTGGAACGTTATTCGATACAGACTCTCGTGTATGCCTGGTGAACGTCAATCAGCAAATCAGGGTGAAAAGTAATGACAAATGGATTTAGATTCTACTGTATCTGAATGTTTTTGCCATTCCACCTGTGAATACTAATCTGGATTGTTTATACCTCCTTACCATTCTCGCGCCAATGGGATACTGTCGTTCTCAGTTTACTAAAAGAGGAATCAGAAACTATTCCTTTCAAATGTTTCTATTCATTGAAGCTCATTTCGCATGGTTCCTCCTATACATTGTACCTCCCTATGCATTTATGTTTTTACCTTCTTAAACTACGTTGACACCTTTCACTTTACTCATGCATTTCATTCGTGCTTTCAGT